AGAATTGCTTGAACCTGGGAGGCAGAGGTTGCAGTGAGCTGAGATCGTGCCATTGCACTTCAGCCTAGCGACAGAGTGAGACTCTGTCTAAAAAATAAATAAATAAATAAATAAAAAAGAGAGAGAGAGAAAGAAAAGCTTTCTAGGAGAAGAACCCCAGGGAATGAGTCCTGTTGGAATCATTGAGTCCCAGGGGGAAAACATTTTGGGTGGGGGCCGTCCAGAGACACTGTGGAAGTCACCATAATACCTGCCAGGGACACACACACAGACATCTGCGCCTCTTGAAGCCAGGGTTAGCGAGGCCTGGGTGGGAAGAGCAGTTTCCCTGCTACAGAGGAGGCTTTCGGTGCTGAAAAAGCCAGAATGTTGAAGATCGCTGCGAAATGTCGTTTTACTCATTTTCCCATCTTTCTCATCAGGGAGCCAGGGAGCAAGCTCAGTGACTTTGGAAAGCAGCTGTGTGGGCCCACACGTGCACACACAGGCACATATGTGCACGCACGTGCCCACACACACCCATAAGAGAAAGTTGCTGGTTGTCTCAGCTCCGTAGTGAGCAGGTTACGTAGAATCCTGAGGCCTTGAGTGAACCCACTCCTGTTCCTCTCTGCTGGTGGAAAATACGTAAAGTGGCTTTTGCTTTTGTTTTTGTTTTTTTGAAATTCACTTGAAGTATTTTTTCTGCCCATCAAGAGCCATTTCATTCATAAGCCAAATGCTCCTCCCTCAAAAGCTCGTTCCCTGTGACGAGGCCTTCGTGTTCTCGGGGAGGAATTCCAGGATGCTTGTTTGGGGACATAACATCTGCTGTGTAGCTATGAAAAGGAAGGATGCAAAGCCCTCAGGGCAGGACGCACCCAAGGCAGAGCGGTGACAGCAGAGCCACAGGGCAGCCCGTAGCTCCTGCCATTCGTATCACTATGTGTCCTCACATAACTAGGTGCAGGGAACCCAGGCAGGAGGACCATGGTGTGGTAGGAGCGTCAGCCTAGAGATGGCCCTGCGCCTTGTCCTCTGGAGACTTGAGGCTACTCCTGGCCTCTCAGGACACAGACCTGGGTGGGAGGGCAGGAAGTGACAGAATCAGAATCAGGGATGCCCCAGCCTGGGCATGGCACAGGGAGATGTTTATGGGGCATCCTTGTCTCTTGATGTCCCTTCTCAGGAAACAAATGGTGTCAGGCTGTCTAGGGGCAAATCCAGCCCTAATCCAGCCCTTGTGGGTGGGTGGAAGGGTAGCAGGCAGCAGGGCAAGATGTCTGGCTCCCAGGAAAGTGCCGCCTGAGAAAACCCACCCTCCAACTGTCTTTTTTTTTTTTGAGACATGGTCTTGCTCTGTCACCCAGGCTGGAGTGCAGTGGTACAATCATAACTCACTGCATCGTCGACCTCTCGGGATCAAGCAATTCTCCCACTTCAGCCTCCCGAGTAGCTGGGACTAAAGGCGTGCGCCACCACACCTGGCTAATTTTTTATTTTTTGTAGACACAAGGTCTCCCTATGTTGCCAAGGCTAGTCTCAAACTCCTGGGCTCAAGCGATCCTTCTACCTTGGCTTTCTTAAGTGCTAGAATTACAGGCACGAGCCACCTCACCCATCCCTAATGCCTTTTCTTGTTTTTTAATTGAGATGGAGTCTTGCTCTGTCGCTATCTTGGCTCACAGCAACCTCTGCCTCCTGGGTTCAAGCCATTTTCCTGCCTCAGCCCCCCAGGTAGCTGAGATTACAGGCTCCTGCCACCATACCTGGCCTAATTTTTTGTACTTTTAGTATTTTAGTAGAGATGGGGTTTCACCAAATTGGCCAGGCTGGTTTCGAACTCCTGACCTCAAGTGATACGTCTGCCTCGGCCTCCAAAAGTGATCACAGGCACGAGCTACCCAGCCTAATGTCTTCTTTTAAAGTCAATTTATTGAAATATAATTTTTATTTGTATGTCTTTTTGTAGCATAATATAATTGATAGTATTACATAATTCTATGATATAATTTGGAACAAAATTATATAGTGTAATTTACTGGTGTGTATATATATAATATTATTTATTTTATAAAATGAGATAGTATAATCTATGTAGTATAATATGGTATATAATATTGTGTGATTTACGTGATATACTAGTCTATGATTTTTGACTAATACATACAATCATGTGATCATTGTTACATTCAGGATAGAGAACAGATCCATCACCTCCAAAAATCCCTTCCAAATGATGTTCTTTGCAGGGTCCCCCGCCTCTGACCCAGTCCCTGACAGTCACAGGTCTGTTCTCTGTAACGTCCTTCTGCCTGGCTCCTTTGATAGACACAAGACCATGGAAACTGGCCCCCGTCATCGCAGTACCGGGTCGCTGGAGTTGGAAGGTGTGGCCTTTTCAGTGATCCTGTCTCTCCTCCTGTGTTTTGTTTTTGTTTTTAGGTTTAAATATGTTATTTGTTCTCAAACCAGACTTTATTATAATTTTACTTTCCAGACTTTAATGGAAGCAAACCCAGCCATAACATTTGAAAATATACTTCTTAGCTTATCTCGTTTTCAACTGGGAGAATTGCCATGTTTGACGATCTGTCATACCTAGGTGACGATCTTAAATAATTTTGCATTCATTTCAACTTCCTGAAATGTGTTTCATAGAACCTCCCAGGGACTGGTATTGTTAAAATAAAAAACAGAACCCACAGAGGAAGTCCATTTCCAAATTTAGATAAGATTGCACTCAGCAAAATTCAAGAAGCCTCTCACGGCTTCTCCTCCTCGACCTGGCAACTGTTCTTGTCACTGAGAAGGCTCCCCTGCCTTCCAGAAGAGCCTGTCAGCCACATGCATGGCACCAGCATGTCCTGAGGGGCTGTGGTCTCTCCCACTGCTGCTCACCGAAGAGTTCCAGTGTTATGCTCCACCGGAACCCCAAGGCCTGCACGTCCCTCTGCTGTGGCTTCTCTCCTTTCCTTTTTAAGCAAATGCTTATGTAATCCCACGCTCACTCTGTGACAGGTCCTGATAAGCCTTTCCCACATTAACTCATGAAATCCTGGTGAGGCCCTCAGAGCCAGGCGTTGCTCTGGGCCCCTCTGTGCGGATGGCTCCCCAAAGGGCTCCGACAGAAGGACACTGGCATTCACCATTTGCTGTGGCTCTTGGACAACAGATCCAGCAGGGAAGTCCTCCGTTTAGGCTAATGAAAGTCCCTCCTTGGCTCTTCCATGCCCCACGAGGCATCCCAGGCCACCATTCCTACCACCCTCAAAGGCACTGGGGAGAGGAGCCGGTTACAGAGGAAATCCAGGTCCATCCCTTTAAAGAGGGCACAGCCCAGACTGTCCCAGGGGAGCCTGTGCAGTGCCAGGGGTCCTGAAGCCGGTGGGCAGAGAGAGGACTGCTGGAGTCGGTGGGGAGGAAGTCACCCCTTCTCCAGCTCCGTGATGCTACCTCACGATGAGGATGCCCACATCCTGG